GCCACAGCTGGAACCATCAATGTTAAGTGCAAAAGTATTCACCTTAGGGGGTGAGGGTGTCTAGGAGCATAGGGTGTCTGATGCTTCTTGTATCCATGTCCATGTCGAACACTCTATGGACGCTTCTTAAATATATACATACATTTATTGGATGTGTACTGAATTGTATACTGCATGTTTTAGTTAAAAAACTCTTGATACACTTATTAGATATATATCGTACTTTTTACCTCAAACTTTTACAACTCTTTAGACTCGGGATGTATTCATTTTAGCACATATTTAGTTCTTAAGTATGATTTTAAAGAATCGTTTGGATAGCTAGTTAAAAAACGAGTTGTTTGTCAATTTATAATCTACTCAATAAAAAATATAAAAATGATATAAGGATTTTAGTTCTCATAACATGTGAATAAAAAATAATATCGATCTCATGTTAGCTTATTAATTTTAGTATGTATGTATATAGTCGTGCGTCATATCCTATCTTTTATAAATTTATGAGAGGCGCTACAGGCACACCCTCAGGCACACCACCAACCATACCCCCTCTCTATCTACAGTGCAGGGGGCCCCACATCAGATTTTTTTAAAAATCTGATGTGGGGCCCCCTGCACTGTAGATAGAGAGGCCACATCAGATTTTTTAAAAAATCTGATATGGGGCCCCCTGCACTGTAGATAGAGAGGGGGTATGGTTGGTGATGTGCCTGAGGGTGTGCCTGTATCATTTTTCTAAATTTATTGTGTTCCGTATTCGCACCTCTGCCTGCAGCCGCACCCATATCCATGCAGCATAGATAACAGGTAACGTGGTTAGTTTTTGCTCAGCAGCTTCATTTCCAAAACATAATCGTATATTTATACTGACCATTATAACCCGCACCCCAAAACCCCACCCAAACGCTAGACAATTAGTAAATACCCCCCATATATAAACTTTAAAATATTAGAAAAACCTCTTTAAGTTAGCATGTTAAGGAGTTATAAGAAAATCTTTCTTTTAACTTTAAGATTTTGTCAGAAAATCCTTCTGAGAGCGTAAACCACAAATTTTACAAGTGAAAATGTCCTCTTGTGTGGTTTCCCCAACCGGCCATGTGAAAATTGTAATTAATGTTGTTTGAGGGGTTTTCTAATATAGTCTTCAAGTTAGGGGGTTTCCTAAAAGCCCCTAAATTAAGTGAGGTATTCTGGTATTTTGGAAGTTATAGGGGGTTATCTGATAACCATCCAAAGGTAAGGGGGCTTTCCCGATATCTAGCCTAACTTTTATGTTAGTTTACTTTAGTTCAAGTAAGTGGCCATTGCGAGTAATCCCCAGAAAGTCCATTAGCATACGTAGCTTGTATAGTTTGCAGAGATATTATGCAACTATCTAATGTTCATAGTTATCGTGTCTTCACTTGTTTCTCAAAGCGGAGATAGACTTTGGTCATCCAAATTTATCATTCAGAATAAAATAATTAACATCTACAATATCCACAAAAACAGGAAGAAAACCTCTCCAGTACTGTACTAAAATATATAAGGTAGAAACAGTTGGCTTCCAACTTTCAGGCGTTAATTGAGTGACTGTAAAAACAATTTAGGAGATAAACGGTGTAACTCTCTTTTCTACCTTTGAGTTGTGATAATTTTAGTACTTAACTAGTAACAAGGCTATATAGAATCTTCAATTTCCAATTTGACCAGCCACTCATGTGGCACACTTTAAGAAATGCACTGTATTATGACCCACCACTGACAAAAAAAAGTGCATTAGTGTCATTCTCACGAGACTATGTTGCTTGCTAACTTGCAAACATTGCATTATGTTAGTGAAAGAAACAATATAAAGGGATAAACCACCAAACCGTATTTAAAACAAACTTATTTTACCACTTCGGTATTTAAAATATCTTGGATGACGTTTTAGTATTTAGAATGGGTTTAAGTTAGCACACAGGTCCAAATTTTGGTTAGAGTTAAGTTTTCTGGCGAAACGCAGCATGTGACCGTCACGTGACCCTTAATAACTGTTAAAAAAGCTAATGTGGCATGGATTAGTGACATACTCTCACATGACCTAAAATAACAGACTAAAGAGATTAAAAAACCCTAAATTTGATAGTTTGCCCCATTCTTCATGCTTTTCAAAATTTCTAGCCATCAGGACGGAGGGTGATCAGTGCCAAACTTGCAATTGCTTGGAATATCGCTGAAGAGGGAACACGGGCAAGTGAAAGTGGTATCATCAATGAGAATTTATAGTACAACCTTGATCATCCTCGTCAAAAAAGGTGAGATTCTTCACATTCCCTTGATCTTTGATGGTGCATATTTAAATTTTTTGTTTATTGAATGAAAATTGTAGTTTTTGAGAGTATATAGGCCTTAATTTTATGAAACAGTTTATGTGATTGATAGTGAAGGTAATTTTTTGAAAATTAAGGGGTTTATTAATGTTTTGAGTACAATGTCAATTTAGTAAAAATTAAGTTTTGGTTTTGTTCATTCATGCATATGGGTGAGAATATTATAGTTAAATTCAGACACAGTGGTCATTTTGAATTTCTAATGTCAGAAGAGTACTATATTAGTAGTGGTTCCTTTGACATGCAATTATTCGAGGAGACATGTTGACTATAGAGTTGTTGAGGGCCAAAGAGAGTATGAGTATACTAATGCTTTCACTTTGCGGTATGTCATACCTGGGGGCAGAATTGAAGTTGTCACGCATCTTGTCTTATATATGGACTTAGAAATTTCAAGCACATGCATGTAAGGTGAGAGTAATTGAAGCGTATGCAAACTATTTTGTGCATCAACCTATTGAAGTAGATGCCAATCTACCTGAAGATCCTCCTCTAGTACAAGAACTCTTGATCAGCATGAAGTTCCTAACCTCGCTGAGTTAACTCTTAAAGAAGTTAAGAGTCTTCAATAGGTGATCACTATACTTTATTATACTTTTATGTCCTCATTATCTATTTTATTGAATATAATATCGGTTGTTTTATAAATTTGTGGGAAATAAATTAGTTTATTATATAAAAGCTCAAAGAAACCTAAAATATCTCAACTTGAAGCTTAAAAGAAGCCTAGAGGAAGTCCACAAATTCCAAAAAGCCCAATGAGAGTCGAGTCAATAAGTCAACACAAGATAACAAACTTCTATTACCCACTGATTAATGGGTTAATCAATTAACTAATCTATGAGCTAATCAATTAGTTTGTATAGGAACCCATCAGTAGCTGATTTTAATTTCTTGGAGCCCAAGTTTGATCTATGAGCTATTGTTAGTTGCTGAAGGTTATAAATAGTGATAGAGAGTGAGAGTGAGGGGGATATAGAAAATTTTATATGCTCCGTTTTGAAGAGGAGGACCTTTAATTAGTCCTCCTAAATTGTGGTTTACAATAATAATAAAATATTTTCTTTTTATTTCTTCTTCTCTTTTGTTGATGAATATTTGCTTCACCGCCAGCCCTTGCAATGTAAGTTTTTATTTTCTATTTTCTATTTTCTATTTTCTTGTTTAGAATTACGTGTTTATGATTTAATTTCTTATTTTTATTTCATGGTTTGTAGGTTAGATTTTTATTTCTTGCTTTTTATTCTTACTTTATAGTTTTTATTTTAATTTCTTGCTTTTTATTCTTGTTTTATAGCTTAGATTTTTATTTTCTTACCTTTTGTTAATGCTTAATAATTTAGGATTTATTTGCTTTTGTAGTATGAGTAGCTAATTGCTTTACTATTTTTAAGATTAGATGAAACTAGGTAATTTTTCTGTTTGGTTTTTGAATTCCTCCCTTTTTGTGCTTAAATGATCATTCCTATGATAATCAACTAAGATAATAACACTACCACATTTGAGGTCTATGGGGACGGTTGTGAACCGTCACACCAGGCATAAAAACCGTTGCCTTACATCTATGGGGACGATTCAACATCCGTCTCGTTTACGGCCGTGCTCTTAGGTCTAATGGGATGGTTGGGAACGATTTGTAAACTGTCATCATTGGTACCATAAGGGAACGGTTGTGCTAGGGGGTCGGTTCTTAGTTTTATGCAAGTGGAACGGTTATATAGCAAGGGGAACGGTTTTTAGGTTCTAAGCAAGGGGAACAGTTTGATAGCAAGGGGAACGGTTTTTAGGTTCTAAGCAAGGGGAACGGTTTGATAGCAAGGAGAACGTCTTTTACTTTTGAGCAATGGGGACAGTTATCTAGCAAAGGTGACAGTTTTAGATTTTGGGAACGGGTATACATAGAAAAGGAGACAGTTTGCAATTTTGACCGTGCAAAAGCAAATCATCCAGATATATCACACATTTTTTTGACCTGCTTTCAAAATTAAAAAAGAACAAAACAAAATAAAAACTTCATGATTTATACCTGCTCATGTCACAAACAAGGAAATAAAACTCCAAATTTTGCAAGCAAATTAACAACCAAACATAAGGAACAATTCATTGGTTCATTACAATAACTTTAGTACAAGTTTTTTCTTTTGTCTAAAGTACATGACTAAAATTCCTCTTTCAATAAAACAAAAAGTATCTCTATATAGCTTAACAGCAGAAGCATGGACTAGAATCTGGTGATGAGCAACAATATTAAGGCTCTCAACCGGAGTCACCAGCACTGCAATTTCCAGCCTCCCACGGAGAGCAACGACCAAGTGCAAATATCCCTGCAGCATAACATTGATGACAATTTGTCCATGGCTCATTCAATGTGATCCAATTCTTCACTCGGTCTCCAAATGACTTTAAGCAAAGATCAGCATAATCTCTAAAGTCATCACTATAACAGAACAAAGAAAATAATGCAATGAGCAATTTATGCCTTACAAACCAAGATAGCTGGCTAAAGGAAAATAGCTTATACACAAATTGACTCACACAACGAGAGGGCTAAGAAAGCCACCATACTTGTCTTCTAGGCTTTGAGGAAAATCCCAGTGGAAGATTGTCATGTAAGGCTCTATGCATGGATATGTGGATAGGAAATTTGTTAGCATCAGATTGATGGATAATCAGGGATTTGATGACAGAGAAGGGACTGTCACCTTTGGACACAAGCTCGTTAATGACATTGTTGTAATATTGGATGCTAAAAAATTGTGATCATAAATACTTGATATAAATAAGAGGGAAAGAACAAATATAAATTTTACCAATAAGAATACTTATGTCTTAATCTCCAATTGCTACGAAATGGTTAAAAATTGATAGAAGTTTATGTTTATAAACCTGCCAAGAAAACCTCTTTCCACTGGTGTCCACTACAAAATCTGTCATCACAAGGAAAGTTTGATGCATGACATGAATTTTCAAAAGCATGAGATTGTAAGCAAGTGTCCTACCTTGTGGGTAGAACTTAATGATTAGTGAATCCTTACTGGTCATAAGATTCCGATAAGCTTCTGGCAGTGCATTAGAACTGTATGTCAAAACAAATCCATAAATGATCCTAAAAGAAACATTGCACATAGTCATGAAAGTACTTAAAGTGAATTTACCTCTTTGATGGTCAGCTTTAGTCTTGACTCAATTTTAAGAGCTTGTCAAACACATGTTAGGCTTATGCAAGTGCCAGTGATTCAAAATATAATATTATGGAAGCCCCACTGTCCAGAAATGAGGCTTTAGGTTACTTCAAACATATCTTATGACTGAATTTGAAACCGTCACATAACCGTTCCCTTAGGAGGCAAAGGAGACGGTTTTGAACCGTCCCCAAATAACCGTCCCCATATACCTATTTTATGGTAGTGTAATTGGTATAAAATGAATCTGATTGGCTATACTTATCTTAAATGGTTTTGATAGTTTGTGCTTTTTCAATTCTAGAATTGCTATCCAGTTGTTTACTTCTATTCATAAACGATAATATTGCTTGAATATATTTTTAATAGGTCATGTTTGTTTTGAATAATTTTATAATCTATACTTATGATTTTTAAGTACTATGAAAATTAAAAGAGAGTAGTTCTTAAATCCAAATATGAATTAACCAATCGATTCAATCCTAGGTGCCTAGTTTATTCACTTAATTTCATCTATCTCTTTATTTGCATTTTCTTTTTGTTTTATTCTCTTTCTTGTTTTCCTATTTTCTTTCATTTATTTCTTTTCTGTTTTTCATTCTCTTTTCTTTTTTTTAGCCTTTTTATTAGCATAAATCATACCCAACCCAATCTCGACACTCTCTCTGTTTTCTTTCACATTTCAAGAACTACTTTAGAACTTTCTAATAATACTCCTTCCTCAATATTGGATCAATATTTACTTGTCACACATACTAATTGTGCACTTGCAACATTTTATTTAGAATACATCAAGTTGTTGGCATCATTACTGGGGAAGGTGCCAATAATTAGTATTGTTTTTATTTTAGTTCTTTAATTTGCATGTTTGATTATGAAGAGTTGATCTAGAAGAAGTGTGAAAATTAGAGAAAAGTATTTATTTCAAGAGGGGTCAACTGCTTGCGAAGGTAAGATCTCTTTCTTGTGATTTTTAATTTCACCCTCTAGTTAGGTTTTTCACATTTAGAGATAATTAGAAGCTAATAAAAAATTCTCTTATTGACCATAACAAAATCCACCATTCACTTGTATAACTATTAAATAATATAATAATTCAAACAAGAGTAAAATTTTAAAATTTCACAATTTTTTTTATTTGTGTGAACCTAATAAAAAAAGCATCCACTTACAGTGCTTTTATTTCATATAGTCTCATTTGTATATAGTTAGTAGGAATCACCAAAATAATTTGAATATTTTGATCTGAGAATACACTTAAATATACTTTTAAGGGAAAAAGTCCTAAATCAAGATAAAGTGAGAGATTTCATCGTCCATTCCTTAGCCCAAAAATCACTTGATTCCTCACAATACAAACCCAAGTCTTGAAATTCATTAGACCTTGATTCCTAAGGATTCAAGCTCAATAGAAAATAAAAAATTCTTAAGTGAACCAATTTAGGTTTATTTGACTCTGTTAGTGTCTAAGATAAGATTTAAGAGTTGTGTAAAGAACTCTACAAGGAAAGATGGTCTTAAACGGTTTCCGAACTCCCTCTAAAACTTTTGTTACCAGCTAATTGATCAAGTAAACTTGAATCTTTTCATTCAAAGAGGGTTTTGGTTAGGAGCTGTTCTAGTAGAGTTTAGGCTAAATCCTAGAAATTAGGAGTGCTTGTTTAAATGATTTGCCTTTTGATTTATTTAGTTAGGCTTCTCTTTTCTTCTTCTTTTTATTTTTCAAAAATCTTGTAGATATTTTTTAGTTTTTACTTCCCTAAGAAAAATTTTAGATCTTTTTCTTAGGTTTTATAGATAAAAAGAATATCCAAAAAAAGAGTTTTTATTGGTGTATACAAGTTTGGGTTATGGATAATAAAAATCATGTAGTTCATGTTGAATTTGAAAGAAATGACTAATCCTAATCCACTCGTTCTTCAGGATATGTGTTATCCTACTAAGAATATAATTCTATTTTGCATTAGATTTCTTGATATTAATGGTGTTAATTATGAGCTTACACCTCACTTCGTAAAGATGCTTTTCAAATTTTTAGGAAATGAGTTTGAATATGCTTACATTTTTATATCCGAGTCTGAGAAGTTTGTCTTATGCTTAAGATTAGAGAGTTATCTAATAATGCAATTAAAGTTAGATTTGTCGCTTTTGATCTGAAAGATAATGCTAAGCAATGATTATATAACTTGCCCATAAATTACATATCTATTTGGGATAATTTTGTTACTAATTTTCTACAAAATTCTTCCTAATTCATAAAATAATAAAGCTTAGGAACAACATTCAGTCTTATGGGATAACTTTAGAGAAGCCATTCTAAAGATATTTTGATAGATTTAAGAATCTTCTTATCCAATGTACTCATCATAATTTAGAGAAATGACGTTTATACCAAATTATCTTTGAAGGATTAGATTATCCTTTAAAGACTTCTTTAGAATCTATGTATCAGGCTGATTTCATAAAGAAAATTACAAATGAAGCTTGAGATTTTTTAGAGAATTTATCTGAGAAAACCATGCAATGGAAATACTGTGATGTAAGAACAACTTCATTAGTTCCCTCAACTAAGCTTAGTGATGTTCCTTCGAATCGAACATAGCCTCTGAAGCTATGATAACCACAATCCTACGTCAATTAGAAGCTTTAGAAATTAAAGATTGAGCTCTTGCTCATATCAACCAAGTTTCTTTCCCAGGATGTCATAATTTCTTGTCTCTGACTCATGTTTCATAAGAGTGTCCTCTTTTAGAAAATAATCAACAACTTGATCAGATGAACACTGTACTTTAGCGTCCTAGGAATGATCTATTTTCTCTAACTTACAACCCTGATTGGATGGCTAATTTTGCATGGAATCAACCAAATTCTTGGAAAATCTAAATTTCACTCCCTCTTTAATTAAACAATTTTAAGGGGAAAGATATGTTCGTTAACACTCACAATAATTTCTATAATCCACAACCCAATCTTTTATACCTAAATCAGTCTTCTCCTCATAATCAATAGGTATAATACTTTTATATCTAAATCGGTATAAGCCCACCGCTCTGTTTCTAGATAGACTCAAACTTAGAAAAACCTCTCCTTAGATGGAAAATATCTTAAAAACATTTAAGTAGGTCTAGGTCAATATCTCTCTCTTAGATGTCATCCAACAAATCCTATCTTATTCAAAATTATTGAAGTATTTGTGCACTAAGGAAAAAAAACCAACATTCTCAGGAAAGTCTTTTTAGTTGCTAATATTAGTGATGTTCTTTCAAAATCCATGCCCCTAAAATATAAAGATCCAGGTTGTCTTACGATTTCAGGTGTTATAGAAAATACTTTTATTGCTAGGACATTTCTAGATTTAGGAGCTAATGTAAATTTTTCTTCTTATTCAGTCTATCAATAGCTAAGAATAGACGAACTAAAACCAACTAGATGCACCCTCTAAATAGCTGATAGATCTATGAAGATATCCAAGGGAGAGATGGATGATGTTTCGATTAAGGTTAGGGAGTTGATATTTCTTGCTGAATTTATAGTCTTTGAAACGCAACCTATTTTCAATCTCAACGATCAGATGCCTATCATTATAAGAAGATTGCTCCTAGCTACTTTAAATGCTTTGATAACCTATAGAACCAGTCAAATAAAATTATCCTTTAGGAATATGACTGTTTATCTTAACATCTTTAATCTAGAAAAATAGTCGAGTGACCCATCTAATCAACCCCTAGAATTGATCTTCATTTAGGGAATACCAAGTGAATAGTTAGAAGAAGAATATGAGTCAAACCTGAGTTTTGAGGAGACATGTGATGAATAAATCAAGCTATTAGAGGAGTTAGAATCAGAATAAGTCATTGAGAAGAAAAGCACTGAGTTAGACACAAGCTTCACTAACCTCATATTCGAAGATCTCTTTGCTGATGAACTTAGATTCCTAGAAGATATGGAACAATTGCCCTATCATGCCACAACCATGAACTTTGGGTTTGAGAAAACTTTTAAAGAATAGATGGTTCGGTTAGGACAAACTTTTATTTATATGGAACCTAGATTCAAATTCGAGACTAGCTTTCTGATTGATTAGCTCCAAAAATTCAAGATCCATGACCCTCTACCAACCTGCCACCAAATGCTGCAGAAGTTATTGAAAACCTTAGAGAGTACAGAATTTAAGCATATTAAGAGTTTATCATTTTAGATTTCTTTAAAATTTGAGATAGAATTTTCAGCAATAAGATAGAAACTAATGTAGAATGTGATTTTTTATTCTCAATCATTTATTTCGCATGTTTAATTAGTCTCTCATAATAATAAGAATAATAAAGAATTGCATTTCCCTTGTTTGGAGGGCTTATTTTTTCTTTCATTCAAAGAAAAAAAGGAAAAAGAACAAAAAAAAGGAAAAAAGAAGAAAAAGAGAAAAAGAAGTTTTTTTTTGGCTTTGTCCTCCTATTCGTCAAAATTGAAGGTAATTACAGATTTTTATCATTTTATCATTGTTCAAAGTTGACAAAGCGAATGTAAGTTCTTCATTTGCTATCTTCTTTACTTTTTGCATCATATAGTTTGCATTGAGAACAATACAAAAATTTAGGTGTGATGGTGGGGACTAGTCATCTTTTCTGCTTATTTTATCCTCTCTTGCATCCTTCCTTTTCTTTCCCTTAAAAAATTGTCATTTGCCAACTTGACAAAGTTAATTAATAATTAGTTTACTTGATGAATTTTTAAATTTCTTAATTCTTAATTAGCCTTATACTCAGGTTAGCATTTTACGATAACCCAAAAAAATTTTGAAATGATTTTCAAAGCACTATACCTTATTATGGCTCTAACTTAGAACTTTATTTAAAGTAATGAAATTTTTTTTATGCTTAACTCAGAGTAGATAACAATTTCTTAGGTCCTCTTGATCTAAATATTTTTCCAAGTTATATATATATGTGTGTGTGTGTGTGTGTATATATATATATATAAAAAAAAAAAAAAAACTAAAAAATAAAAGAGAGTAAAAAATGGACACTAATAAAAATCTTAATCTCTAAAGTGGCAATTAAACCTGAAGGGCTAACTTACCAAATTGGTATTTTTATTTGACCATGTTTGTCAGTTTGGTGTATTTAAAAACTCTGGCGATAACAAAGTATTTTATTCGACCCTGCTTACCAATAAGACCATTTTCTCAAAATTCCGGCAAAAAAATTTGTTTTAACCCTCTTACCTCCTAAAACTATTAAATCTATGCCCAAAATTATCAAAAAAGCATCCCCTCCCTCTCCCTCTCCTCTTCCTCCTCCTCCTTGTTGTGGTCGTCCTCCTCGTCCTCTCCCATTCCTCTCTCCTCATGGTGATAGAGGGATGGTTGACTCAGCATTGCTCACCTCCTCATAGTTTCCTCTTTCATTATTAACAGTGATCCAACATTTATGTTGTTCTAGTTCCTCTGACAGTCATTGCTCCAAGCTTCTTAGTCTTCTGATAACTCACTATCACTAACAACAATGGAACCCACATCCAATGTCAACGAAGAGAAATCTTCCATATCTCCATAAGATACTAAAGCATGTGTGTCCTCTAGCAACAATAAAAATGATGGTTCGATATTCGCAGGCACAAATGTTCTTTTTTCACTACAATCAACAGCCAAAGATTCATTTTCATCGACCCACCTTCTCTTCACAAGCATTCTTCCCTCTTCTTCCTCCTCGTTTTTTTGTTCTTCATCAGAAATTGCAACATTAATGCAACGCATATCTGACTGAACATTTGATTCTTCAAAAGATGGCAATGGAGGCAATTTGGGCAATGACGATGCATTTTGGTTAGATGACTTGTTGTACATTATTCCATAGGTTCCCATCTCATGATGATCAGCCCTTTTCCTCTTCATCACTCTGTGTCCTTCAGCTACTGCCTCATGTTCACCTGCAAGAATAAGGATAGCATCTTCCTCTTTGTTCGTTTGAGAACTCTTCTTTACCTTCTTCATGTAGATTATGCACAATACCATGTCATTGAACACTATATTGTCGGAAGAAGAGTACAAGTGAAATTCGTGCAAAATCCAATCACCATTAATCTTCTTCTTCTCCTCCCCGCGGGTCTTAAAATTCAGTTGTGTTCTGAAGCCAATAACTTCACTTCCAACCATAATCGTTGTGTCACCTGCACTCCCATGCCAAAATTCACAACCAGCAGTTCGGTTAACCCTTTTAGAGCTTATGCATGTTGGATGTCTAGGGGAGAAGAAATACATCTCTTTCTCTTCACACTGGATCAGCAGTAAATCACCTGAATATAGATCATAGATCAATAAAATCGTCAAAAGCTAAATAGCAACATATTTTTAGATGTAACGATCAAAACAATATTTAACGGATCAATAAAATCGTCAAAAGCTAAATAGCAACATATTTTTAGATGTAACGATCAAAACAATATTTAACGAGCAAAGCAAGAGAGATATTTTCGAATAGCAACATATTTTTAGATGTAACGATCAAAACAATATTTAACGAGCAAAGCAAGAGAGATATTTTCGAACCAGAAAAAACTAACACACTCATTGGAGTTGGAGGCGGAGGAGGCAAGGAGAGAGGAATAGGAGAGGACGAGAAGGAGGAGGATGACGACGAGGAGGAGGAGGAGGAGAGGGAGAGGGAGGGGATAATTTTGGGCATATATTTAATAATTTTAGGAGGTAAGGGGGTTAAAACAAATTTTCTTGCCGAAATTTTGAGAAAAGTGTCTTATTGGTAAGCAGGGTCGAATAAAATACATTGTTGCCGCCGGGGTTTTTAAATATACCAAACTGGCAAACAAGGTCAAATAAAAATACCAATTTGGTAGTTTAGCCAAACTTGAAGAGTATCTCTATATTTAATGACCTAAACCTAATTGCGTTGGGATCTATTGGCCCAAAGCTTGTTACATGGTCAGTTAGAAAAAGCCCGATAAAGTAGAAAAATAACCAAGGAATAAAGTATGTAATATGAATGTATGAATGTGTGTGTGTGTACATATTTTACAATACCAAACCGATGATTTGGTAGGAGATCACTGGGGACTAATTATAATTAACTTAAAAGCATAATCATGGCTTACCTCTTAACATCAACCTAAAATATGGCCCAAAGCTTGTTACATGGTCAGTTAGAAAAAGCCCGATAAAGTAGAAAAATAACCAAGGAATAAAGTATGTAATATGAATGTATGTATGTGTGTGTGTGTGTACATATTTCACAATACCAAACTAATGATTTGGTAGGAGATCACTGGGGACTAATTATAATTAACTTAAAAGCATAATCATGGCTTACCTCTTAACATCAACCTAAAATAAGCTAGAATTAGTCAGACTTACAAGGGCACATTCATAGAATTAGTCAGACTTACAAGTTCATGGTTGAGGCACTTTGTTAGACACAAGCTTCACTAATCTCACCTTCAAAGATCTCTGTGCTGATGAACTTAGATTCCTAGAAGATATGGAACAATTGGTCTATCATGCCTCAACCATGAACTTTGGGTTTGAGAAAACTTTTAAAGAATAGATGGTTCGGTTAGGACAAACTTTCATTTATATGGAACCTAGATTCAAATTCGAGACTAGCTTTCTGATTGATTGGCTCAAAAAATTCAAGATCCATGACCCTCTGCCAACCTGCCATCAAATGCTGCAAAAGTTATTGAAAACCTTAGAGAGTACATAATTTAATCACATTACAAAGTTTATCATTTTAGATTTCTTTAAAATTTGAGATAGAATTTTCAGCAACAAGGTAGAAACTGATGTAGAATGTGATTTTTTTATTCTCAATCTTCTTTTTCGCATGTTTAATCAGTCTCTCATAATAATAAGAAAAATAAAGAAATTGCATTTCCCTTGTTTGGAGAGCTTATTTTTCTTTCATTTCAAAGAAAAAAAGGAAAAAGAAGAAAAAAAGGGGAAAAAAAGAGAAAAAGAAGTTTCTTGGCTATGTCCTCCTCCTAATCGTCAAAATTGAAGGTAATTACAGATTTTTATCATTTTATCATTGTTCAAAGTTAACATAGCGAATGTAAGTTCTTCATTTGCTATCTTCTTAACTTTTTGTATCATATAGTTTGCATTGAGAACAATACAAAATTTAGGTGTGACGGTGGGGACTAGTTATTTTTTTACTTATATATCCTCTCTTGCATCCTTCCTTTTCTTTCCCTTAAAAAATTATCATTTGTCAACTTGAAAAAGTTAATTAATAATTAATTTACTTGATGAATTTTTAAATTTCTTAATTCTTAGTTAGCCTTATACTCAAGTTAGCATTTTACGATAACTCAAAAAAAATTGAAATGATTTTCAAAGCACAATACCTTATTACGGCTCTAACTTAGAACTTTATTTGAAGTAATAAAATTTTTTTATATGCTTAACTTAGAGTAGATAACAATTTCTTAGGTCCTCTTGATCTAAATATTTTTTTCAAGTTATATGTATGTATGTATATATATAGACACACACCAACTCAAAAAAATAATATAAAATAAAATAAAATAAAAAGTAAAAAATAACAAAATAACAAAATAAAAAAATAAAAGAAAGTAAAAAATGGACACCAATAAAAATCTTAATATCTAAGGTGATTCACTAGTAGAAAAACGATCAACCTAGACGGAAATTTCCGTCTAGGTTGATTGCAATTCCGTCTAAATTAGTTCATCTAGACGGAATTTCGTCTAGTTTGATTGGTTTATTTTACTTCCGTCTAGATTGCTTCAAACTAGACGGAATTCCATCTAGATTGATCAATCTAGACGGAAATCAACCTAGATGGAATAAAGAATTCCGTCTAGGTTGGCAACCCAGACGGAATTCCGTCTGGGTTGGCAACCCAGACGGAAATTCCGTCTGGGTTGGATTTTTACAACCTAGACGGAATTTCCGTCTAAATTGATTCAATCTAGACGGAATTCCGTCTAGATTGTCTTTTTTCAGGTAAAAAAAAATTAATTAAAATTTGGGTTTCCTTGTACAATTACATTAATATTTGAATACATCCAGAAAATACTGTACACGCCACATTCAACCATCCAATCATAATCAAAATTCATAACAATTCCATTCAAAAACATCTATATAACCAAATCCAACACATTGTACAAATCCAACCATCCACTTCAAAATATACATCAATCAGTTCCGTCTAAAACACATCCAACAATATATATACTAACAATGCCAGTGACTAAGATATGATACACGACATGAATAAATATAGTGTTATAACAAATAAAACTGTTTATTGCATTAAAAATAAAAAAACATCATCCATCGTCGTCGGCGGGGGTATCTCTATCCCGATTACGAGAACGGGTGCTGCTCCCTCTAATATCTCCACTCTGAATGTTTAATTGAATAATCATTATGTGGTGTTTGATAACATATTAGATAAAAATGAATTTATAAATATAAGAAAAAAATAAGGTACCTGAGCACTACTCTGTCTAACGCCGGAATTATCGCCAATCGAGCTAATGATCCGTATGACACCACCATACGCGCTATAAGGAATAGTACCGCCTAAATATTATATAACATACCACATGAGATCGTCCATCGAGTTCGCCGTCAGCGCAACTCTAGTCATCTCATTAGTCACCTGAATATGCAGCTCCGGGTCAATTTTGTCAATCAAGAAGGCAGAGATACGTGCGACAAATGGCATAGCCTGGAAACTGCTTGTGGCTGCTCTCGTCGATGTAGATGGTGTGGAGGATGCTGTGGACGATCTGATGCTTATACCAGGTGAAGCTCCGACACCATGTAGAGGATATCTTCCTCTCCTATTATTAGGGAGAAATAAATATTAAACTTTGCTCTCAAATTCAATAATGGTAAACAAATATAAATAGTATGTAGTATTCAAATTGATTCGATTTTTCACCATCCTTACCTATTATGACCCATCAGGTTCTGTGTGAGATTGATGTTCTCCTCTGCAGAAAGCATGTGAGGGTCTGGCTCGGTTTGTTCCTCCTCCTGCGAAATGTAGACAGATGCAGCCTCCTTGGATGCGTTCTCAAATCCCTCCTAAAGCGCAAATTTATAGTTAATTCAAGATAATGACCATATTATTTGTGTTCTCGTTTCCTCGTAGTGTTAACAAAATAGAATTAATAATACTACTCAAGATATGTATAAATCTCACCACTAACTCGAGATTTTTTGTGATCTTATCCCGATTCCTCTCATCACCCCTATATTGTTCACGAAAAGTACCATATGCCGCTCTGGCCCTCAAGTGTATCGGCATTAATGATTTCCCCTGTCATATTATAAATTATGAGATTTCATAATCATACTAAACATTAAGATCTTTTAAATCTTTAAATGACATATACCGTATCTTGACAATAAACATCCTCCAGATTGGCGTAGGAGTGTGAGCCCAAGTGATGGTCATGCAGCTTCTTTCTTCTATTTTCTGACCCCTTCGTGGATTTATTCTTTAAAAAAATTCTGTAAATATAAAATGAAATAATATCTTAAAATTATAAACTAAATTTCATGAAACTAACCTTGGCGGCATCGCTGTCCCAATACATGAGGAGAGCCGTGAAATGAATCTCGTCAACTCGGTCATCGAGGTTTAAAAACCTCTGCCAGTCCTCCTCATACCTGTCATAGGTTTCATGTTTGATCTCATGCCTCCATTGTTTGAGGACTGCTTCAACCTTGACATTAAACACATAATTCCAAGCCCCCTCAAAGTCCTCAAGGCAGAAGCAGTCCTGTAGATTTACATACACATTTAGTAAGGATAATTTAATATCAATTACTAATTATTAATAAATGAAAATCTAAAACAATATGCACTTACCATAAGCGCAGTCCATATCGCCTCGTATGCGGTCCATGGTAATTCTCGAAAATAAAAATAAGGGTTGACAATGGTCGCTCTACGCACGAGAACCCCAATATATGCATTCAATCGGGTTGACCAAGGACCAACGGGCAAATTAGAACTATTCCACCTAATAATGCCCCTCATTCCTCTTGGCGGTTGTTTAGAATTAGGCTTACCTCTGCCACGTCGTCCCTCTATGCGATCCTTCTTAGTACCTACAATAATGACAACATGATAATATATCATATAATATACAAATGTGAAAATTAAAAGTATTTATATAATTTACCATTCTCTATCTCTCTTTCTTTTGCTGCGAGTGCAACAGCTTTCCTAGTCTCCAACATAGAAAGCATTTCCTGATACCTTCTCGCAGCACGTGGGTGGTACTTCCTTGAATCAGCCTTGGACTTATGAGAGTCCGGAGGTAAAGGTAGACTGAGAAAGTCCTGGGTCTTTGGCCGCAAGTCAGTATGGAATGTATATAATGGATATGTCGGGGTCCAAGTAGCACCTACATAAGAAAGAAGAATCATTAATATTAAATTTTAATTGAACATTATCAATTATTAAATATTTAATACCTGCGTCGGGGGATGGTTCTGGTGCTGCGTCGGGGGATGGTTCTGGTGCTGCATCAGAGGGGCCGGGTGATGAATATCCAGCATCTACAACAAATGAACACTATGAGCTAGATAACTAAAAATTTATAAAACATGTTAAAGTATTAATTAATTTTTATACCTGCATCCGGAGATGGTAGTGGATCATCAGCACCACTACCTGGGGTGATACTCCGTGAGCGATCACCCTCCAGGTCAAAGAGCCTCCTCATCCTCCTCCTCATCTGCAAATATAATAAAGACAATCGTTAAGAAAAAATTGTATACATGCTCATGAGATATGTTGTTATGAAATGCATTATTGTTTTTATTATGATAAGATAAAAATCGATAATGTGGTGTAACATATATAGTTCATACCTACATCCAGCGCCACATTCTGTGCGTAAGAGAATTCTTGCCAAACATCATCAGATGAACCGATTGGTTCACTATAATTATCTTCACTTTCTTCAATATTTTTTTCATTGTTATTAGGAAGAACAACAGATCTTGGCTCCTTGTACAAAACCACCCAATCATACATGACATTCGGATCTTTCACATAGAAGCACTGATCAGCTTGTTCTGCGAAAATGAATTTCTCATCCGTATATACTTCT